GAGGAGGAGGAGAAGGAGGAAGAGGAGGGGGTACAGGAGGTGGGGGAGGAGAAGGAGGATGATAAGCAGGACGTGCAGGTGGTAGCGGCTGCAGACAAGCAAACATAATGTGTCGCACGCGCGTCAGAAGAACGTTGGGCGGCCCTCCATCCGTGAAACATTTGCGTGTTTTTGAAACGAATGTGTGCGGCGCTAAAGCGAGAGCCACATTTTAACAACGGGCCGCCCTCTATCTGGGAAACACTTGCAACATTTCAGCTTAAGGATCGTAACTGGTGAGGAAGTCTCAGGCGAGTCGCCTGATCCGCCCTACCGGGACGCCTCGGGGTGCGACAGAGAGGATTTATTTGTAAGGAAAGGGACTGGAGGAGGACGAGGAGGAGGAGGAGGAGGAGGAGGCGGTCGAGGCGGAGGAAGAGAACGAGAAGAATTATGAGGAGGAGGAGGAAGAGGAGGAAGAGGACGAGGACCAGGAGGATCAGAAACACGGCGGGACGCCGCCGCCCGCCGCTGGCGCGCCCGCCGCCAGGTGAAGCTCAAGCGGGCCTTCTGCCTGGGCGCTGCGGACCGTCGCACGCGGGCCGTGGAGCTCCGCTGGGGGCTTTGCGCGGCTCGGGCCCCGCCACTGTGGCTCGAAAATGGGGCCCTGGTTGGAGGTTGCTAACTACATCCTTCTACTACTTCTACTACTGCTCTGCTCCTGCCACTGCTGCTGCTGCTGCTGCTGCTACTGCTACTGCTACTGCTCTAGCAATAATGATTATTCGTATTCCTACTACTACTACTACTACTACTACTACTACTACTACTACTACTACTACTACTACTACTACTACTACTACGGCTATTAGTACGACTACTACTACCACTACTACTACTACTACTACTACTACTACTACTACTACTACTACTACTATTACTACTATTTCTACTACTACTACTACTACTACTACTAATTCCACTACCACTACTACTACTACTACTACTACTACTACTACTACCACTACTACTACTAGTACTACTACTACTACTACTACTATTATTACTACTACTACTACTACGACGACGACGACAACTACTACTACTACTGCTGCTGCTACTACTACTACTACTACTAGTACTCGTACTAGTACTAATATTTCTACTACTACTACTACTACTACGACTACTACTACTACTACTACTGCTACTACTACTACTACTACTGATGCTGCTGCTACTACTACTACGACTACTTCTATTACTACTACTTTTACTGCTACTACTCCTTCTTTTTCTTCTACTGCTGCTACTAGTACTGCTACCTCCACTACTACTACTACTACTACTACTACTACTACTACTACTACTATTACTTCTACTACTACTACTACTACTACTACTACTACTTCTACTCCTACTAGCTACTACGACTACTACTATTATTATTACTACTACTACTACTACCACGATTATTACTGGTATACTAGTACTAGTACTTACTACTAGTACTAGTACTAGTACTAGTACAGTACTAGTACTAGTACTAGAACTAGAAACTACTACTACTACTACTACTTACTTCTACTTGCTACTACTACTACTACTACTACTACTACTACTACTACCACTACTACTACTACTACTACTGCGACTACTACTACTACTACTACTACTACTACTACTACTACTACTACTACTACTACTACTACTACTACTACTACTACTACTACTACTACTAATACTACTACTACTACTACTACTACTACTACTACTACTACTACTACTACTACTACTACTACTACTACTACTACTACTACTACTACTACGAGTACTAGTGCTAGTACTAGTTCTACTACTATTACTACCCGTACTACTACTACCAGTCACGCTGCCGCTGCAGGCGCGGCACCCCGCGCCAACACGGCGCGATTTCGTGGGAGGCAGGCATGGGCATCCGCCCATCGAGCCTCAAACTAGGATGCCCATCCCTGTCGATGAACAGGCATGGGCATCCCACTCTCGCAGCGAGGGTGCTTCTAGTCATCTGGAAGCAACGGCTTGCGTAATTGCTGCATGAAGGCCCTGTTGCCATAGCGAGCGCGGCAGCCTCCGGCACCGAGGGTGTGAAATAGGCGCCGTTCTGGTCTGGATGCCCAGCCCTGTCGATGGACAGGTGTTGGAATCCACGCATCGTGTCTCAAGCTAGGATGCCCATCCCTATCGATGGACAGGCATGGGCATCCCTCCCCCGAAATGAGGGTTGCTTGGCGTACAAAAACTGTGGTCCGCTTAGACGGAAGTGGGGCGGCCTGATTGCCGTTGCGGGCGCGGCAGTCTTCGACATCGACGGTGTCAGGTAGGCGACGGTTTTGTTTAGATACCGTCGGGCCCACCGGTCGAATGAGCGGTGAGGCGTCAGCCTCGAGGTAGAAATGCAAGTCCTTTTGCCGCCGCGCGAGACCGCGCCACATCAACAGTATCAAATTACAGTACCATGTGCTAACGTTACCAATACGTAGGACGAGAATGCGGTGACATTAGCCCGGCCTGCCTTCGCCGAGAATGCGGTGACATTAACCCGGCTGGCCAATCGAGCACGATCGTTCTTTGTTGTGGAACAAACGGTCAGGAGGACAAAACATTTTGGCATTGGTGGTGTCAAATCGGGTCTGGATGCCAACCCCTGTCGATGGACAGGTGTTGGTCCCCACCCCAGGGCCGAATGCTAGGCTGCCCATCCCTGTCGATGGACAGGCATGGGCATCCCCTTTCTTCACCTACGGCACTGGCGGTGCCAAATAGCCTAAAGCTAAGATGTCCACCCCTGTCGATGGACAGGTATGGGCATCCCCCCCCACCCAGCAATGGGCGGGGTGCTTGGCATGTGAAAACTTGAGCCCGATTAGGCGGCCGTGGGAAGGCCAGATTGTCGTTGCGGGCGCGGCAGTCACCACCCATGGAGCCCTGAAGAGGGGCCAGCGAGGACCCGAGCGGGCCCCAAGAGGAACCCAGAACGGCTATGCGAAGCACGAGTAGGTTAGCCCCTGCTCAGAGGAGGGGGGGAATTATTTGAGTTCTGTTCATTCTGAGGACCCGGGCCCTCTCTCTATTGGCTTCGAGGGGCACCGCCTCCCCCGCACAGAACTTGAGCGATGTATCGGGATGATAGGCCCCGCTGCGGCCAACTCGCGTGGCCTCACCCTCACCTCCTGCGCCCGCCCCCTTCCCCCCACCGCCGCCGCCTCCAGCGGAGGCGGAAGCAGCTACAACTGTTCAGGGCATTGGCCACGAGAGGGCATGGAAACGCTCACGCTGGGCATGCCGGCGTCGCGTCCAGTTTGTGAGAGCGCAAGCCGTCGCCAACGATATCCCCATGCCGTGGCTACAATGCTGCTTTGAGCGATCATGTGCTCAATGCCCGCAAACATACTCTGCATATCTCCAACTCTGCGTTGGGAGTCATTTTCATGTGCAGTAGCGGTGGCGCGTATTCGGCAACAGGGGCGCTCAGGAGGCTAGGCCAAGATTCCCTCACATACTTCCCGTCCAATGGAGCGAAGCACTCCTGGGACCGCTTCGCTCGAGGACAGCACCCGCATACTAAAGTAGGCCTTGCAATTTGCCTGGAAGAGTTTTTCCCAGTCTCCGCTCTCAGCTAACGTACGGTCTCTCTCATGAAAACAGGATCGGGGCGCCCATCGTCACATCGTTGTCGTTGACGGCACTGGGATGTGTCGCTTCGCTTACGGGCTGTGGGCCTCCTGGCGCCTCGCCGCTGCCCCCTTGGGCCCGCCTCGCCCCCGCCGGCGGGCCCCTTGGCAGGCGTACCTTATGCGCCGCTTAAGGTACGCCTGACCTGGGCGCCCCGCGGCCCCCCTGGCTTGGCCCGCAGAGCCCGACTCGGGCCCCCGCGGGTTTCGCCGTGGCCCCCCCCGGTCCCGCCCTCGGCCCCGCCGGCGGGCCGCTAGGCAGGCGTACCTTAAGCACCGCTTAAGGTACGCCTGACTTGGGCGCCCCGCGGCCCCCGCGGCCCGGCCCCGTGCCCCCGGCTTGGCCCCGCGGGCTCTGGCTTTCGACTCAGGCCCGCCTTGTGGCACAGTGAGTGGCTATGCGAAGCATGAGTAGGCTAGCCTCCGTTCAGAGGCGGGAATTTTGCCATCTTCCCTCTTTGCTGGGGAATCTCTTCAGTCTTTCCGACAGTCCAGCTTGAACCAATAGGGGCCTTCAGGTTCTATCCGCCCTGACTGCACCATCCCATCGGGCGCTGCGTTCATGCTGGGCTGTCGCACTCGAGGGAGGGCGAGCTTTGTTGGACAAAGCCAGCGTTGTATTGTGGGACGCCCTCCAGACATATTTCGCTTTGCCCCAAAGTGGTCCTGACCTTGAGTGGTGCAAGGGTGGTAATACCAGGTCGCTGGCTTCACCCATGAGGCTAAGGCGCCCCGAAGCCATATCACTTCAAGTCCTCGTCCTCCGCCTCCTCCTACTACTACTCCTACTACTACTCCTGCTACGACTACCACCACTACTACTGCTACTTCGGCGACCTCATCTTATTCTTATTATTTCTATTATTATTATCATTATTATTTTTATTACTACTACTAATACTACTACGACTACGACTACGACGACTACTACTACTACTACTACTACTTTTACTACTACTTCTACTAATACTATTGCTACTACTACTAGCATTACGACTACGACTACGGCTGCAATTTTGACTACGACTACATTTACGACGACGACTGCTAGTACTATTATTGTTATTGTTACCACCACCGCTGCCATCACTACTACTCCTACTAATTTCACCCTTGCGACTGCTACGACGACTTTTCCACAACAGCAACAGTAACGACGACGACTACTACTACCACTACGACTACGACTACTACTACTATTATTATTATTGGCATTGTTATTAATGATCATTACTACTACTACTACTACTGCTACTACTACTACTTCTACTACTACTACTACTACTACTACTACTACTACTACTACTAATCGTACCACTCCTATCACGACTAAGACTACGACTACGGCTGCTACCATTATTATTCTTATTGTTACTACCACTAGTTCTATTTGCACGACATACTACCACTACTATCATTAGTCTTTTTATTAGTATGACTACTACTACTACCACCACCACTACTACTACTACTACTACTGCTGCTGCTGCTGCTACTACTACCACCATTAATTACTACTACTACTACTACTACCACTAGTATTCGTATTGCTTCTAGTAGTAGTGGTAGTAGTAGTAGTAGTAGTAGTAGTAGTAGTAGTAGTAGTTGTAGTAGTAGTAGTAGTACTACTACTACTACGACTACCACTACTACTACTACTACTACTACTACTACTACATACGACTACTATCTACTTACTACTACCTACTACTACTACTACTACTACTACTACTACTACGACTACTACGACTACTACTACTACTTCTTCTACTACTACTACTACTACTACTACTGTTGCGGCTACTACTACTACTACTACTACTACTACTACTACTGCTAGTGCTTCTACTACTACTACTACGACTACTGCTAGTACTCCTACTACTTTTACTTCTACTTCTAGTGCTACTATTACAACAACAACAACTACCACTACTACTACTACTACTGCTACTACTACTGCTGCTACTGC